TGAAAAAAATTTTTTTTTGGCTGTCTAGTAACCATCGATAATCACATTATATAAACTAATTTTTAATCTTTTGATCTTCAGTGGTTTTTGGCCTAAACGTATCAACATTTATGCCACTGTCGATGACAGTATCATTAAAAAAAAAAAAAAGAAAAAAGAAAAAAAAAAGCGAAAAGGTTGGAACAAAATAAACTAAAAAATTATGGGAGAAAAAGTGAGAAGAAAAAAAAAAGTGGTGGAAAAACCTGTTGATTAACTCATTTCCTATGCAAATTCTATACTGCTCAGTAGACATTCAATTAAGTTGTAATCCAGTCAAGTAGATAGATTTATTTAATGCAATTTTTCTTTTTTTTTTGCAAAAAACTGAAAAAATTATATATTTTATTTGCAACAAACACATAAGCAGCATAAACAGTTGCATTTTTGTCTAATTTTTTTTGGAAACAGACATGTTTAAATGTTTTCAACTAGTTTTGTGGTGGTGAAGAAAGAAAACGCCAACAACTTATTGAGTTGTCATTGGTAAAAAAAGAAAAAGAAGCAACAGAAAAAAAAAAAGTTGGAAGTGCAAAGGTTAATGATTTTTAAAAAATCAGACCAAAATCAAAAAAAAAAAAAACCATCGTTTTTCCGGTTTTTTTGCTTTATTGCTGTTGTTGTCCGTAAATTAATTGTTTTAATCTATACCGAGTGTAAAAAAAAAAAAAGAGGGAGAGTTCAAGCGAAAGTTCTGATATTTGTTTGATAAGTTTTTTTTTTTTTTTCTTATTGCAGTCTGTACAAATCGTCAATGGATACTGAATCAAGGAATCTGTTACACTTCGGTAGGTTATTTTTTTTTCTCTCTCAATATTGGTTTAGTACTTCTGTATAGAACGCTATTTGCTTGTAAAACAAATACTCTGCACATGAAAAAAATTCTTCACTAATTATATATATGCATATTTAATTTGACTTTATACCACACAAACTTCACCACCTTTTGGTTGTCCTGTTTTGAGCGTTTAAAGCATTGTCATTGATTAAAATAATAACCTCTTTTTTTTTTTCCTGTCTGCTAAGATTTTTTTTTTGTCTAGTTTTTCTTTTTCTGCTTATTTCACAATTAGAATGACAAAATATTTCCGGAAAACTGAAAATACAGAAGAAAAATTTGCAGGTTGGTAAGTGTACAATAAAAAAAAACCCTTCTATTGAGCACCCAAACACTAAGCAACAACAATAGTATTACGTTTTTGATAATTTGCATAACAATGCCACAACAACTGTTAATTATCGGATGTTTAATATTACAACTGCTGTTGTTGTTGTTGTCACAAAAAAAAAGCTTTTTTTGACCAAGTTTAGATTAGGATTAAATTAGGTTGAACTGACCATCATTAATAATCAATATAAAATTTTTACCTCTTATTTGAAATTTTAACAATATTTACGCTAATAATTTTCAGTTTTAAAACAACAACAACAACAACAACAACAAATTCTTTAAATATTTTTAATAAATAAATTTATGCATTTAAAATTTTACCAGGAATTATCACCGTTTGACTACGACGATGCAATTGACTTATGCAACAAAGTTTTAGGCAACATTGTTGAACCACGAACTGAAAATCAACAAATCTTTCTTGACGGTAATGTACAGATTTTTGTTAGAATCCAATATTTGATATGTTATTTTGCAATAATATTATTTGCTTTTTTTTTTTGCTTTGTCAATAATGTCAAAAACACATTATGGTTAGTAATAATCTTTGAATTCACTATCACTGTTTTTTTGTTTGCTAATCACCTGTAATCGTAAACATGCAAATTACCATACACACAAGCGAGCTCAACAAAGTATTGCTCATAAATTTGAACTGTAATTCTTCTTAAAGATCAAGACAACAATAGTAGGAGCGGAGGAAAAAGAAGCAAAAAAAAAAA